AGGGACAATTGTCAGCCTTGTATTCCTTCTAAATCTAATGAAGTTCTTAAAGGAAAGAAAGTTAATTTCCTGAATCCAGTGCAAGAAGTTTCCGAAATTTGCAATAATTCTTTGTATTCTTCCTTGAATAATGTTGATCATGGTGCTAGAACTAGTGGAACCAAGTTCCTAGGAAGGCTGTTATCTGATTATGAAGAGGTGGTAGGAGTCATAACTAAGAAGTCTTATGCTGGTACTGAGAAAGTTCCTTCTGTTCATATGGATAGTGATAATAGTTCTAAAGCAATTGTAGGTTCACAAAGGGTTTTATTTGGAAAATGTCACTGTCAATTTGGGGAATTTGAACCTGAAATGGGAAGCTTATGATGATTTGGAGAATTGGAGTGTGCTATATATCATGAAAATGAGAAAGCTGGGCAGTGGTGATGCTGATATGAAGAATTCTATCGCTGGATTTGCAGGGGGCTTGAGGGAAACAAAAGCTAAGATGACAAGAATTGCTTTGAGGAAAGCCAAGTAGTATGAGGAATCTGGCATATCTGATTCCATGGAAAATTCCAAAGGCAAAGGTGGCTGGCCTTCAACAGCCCCACCAATCTCATGAAAATCATATCGTGGAATTGTCAAGGTTTGGGGGTTTCTTTGACAAATAGAAATTTGAAAGACTGCTATAGAAAAGTCAGACCTTCAATCATTTTTTTGATGGAAACAAGAATGAGAAGTGAAAAATTGAAAAGACTTGGGAGGTTGCAACATGGATTATGAATTATATGTGGAACGTCGTGGAGAATCTGGTGGATTGGCTCTTTGGTGGCAAAGTAGTGTAGATATTAAGGCTCTGTATCAGTCAAAAAATCTGATCCATGCTAGAGTCAAATCTGTGGTTTTAAACATGCCATCTTTCATTACTTTTATTTATGGTGCTCCTAAAGAAAATGATAGAAATCTAGTTTGGAACAGACTTCAATCTTTAGCTCGGGGGGTCAATGATACTTGGCTTTGCATAGGTGATTTTAATGAACTTGGTTCTCATACGGAAAACAAGGTGAAAGTCTCCTCCAATTGGTTCCGTTGAAATAAACTTAGATGGAGCTTTTAGTAAAGATTCTGGTTTGCTGGAATTGGGATTGTTTGCACAAATGAAGAGGGTTTGTTTCTTGGCAGTATCTGCAGAAAAATGAGATCACTGACAGTGATGTTATTTCTTTCAGTGATCAATTTAATTATTCAAAGATATATTTTGACACTGATTGCCATGAACCTTACAGAGCTATTGTAGCTAAATCCTCAAGTGATGTTGAAATGTTGAATACTTGAATGGCAAAATACAGATATAGTCACTTTGATTCTGGAAATGTTGAAAATTATGCTGACTTGACTTTGTATTGGTATTTACCAGCCTTATTTCTTTGCTGGCTGTTTCCCTTCAATAAATATATTTGTTGTTAAAAAAAAAATAAAAGTTGGGAGAATTGCTCATGGGTGTTAGATAAGAAAACTAAATATAGATATGTCCCAAAAATTTCATATTTACAGGTTGACTTGCCTTTTTTTTTTTTTTAAATTTTGCCAACAATTGACTTGCCTTGTTTACCAGTCAAACTCACATATTTATAAGTTAAGTAACTAGGATTTAGTTCCCGTGCAACGCACGGGATGAATTAACTTCAACGTATGGTATTAAATAATTTTTTTCTCAACAAATACGCAGTTACTAACATAGCAACCTCCTCCATCCATTTATTCATACTAAAACATCAAACGTGAATTGTAATTAAACATGTAATTATATTAACCTAGGCATTTTTTTCAAGACTTGTCCGTATTTATTTTTTTTCAAAACCATAGCTCAATACAAACCAGAGAAAGGAAAATGAAACATTAATTTCTTAAAGAGCCACACATAATTTGGGATTCTGGATTCATAGCAGTCTGCAGTATTTTAGAGCATAGAATAATCAAGTCCAGGAAAAGTCTTATGTTGGAACTCAGCTATGTTTGATTAAAGAAAATGTCTATCACTGGAAGCTTCAGAAGGGTGATGCAGGTGAAGATGATGTGGGTGGGGGCTCAAAACAGATAACGGGATTCAACTATTCAATAAATCTTGTATTTTTCTCTTTTTCTTTTTTCCCCCCAAATTATACGTGGATTTTGGTATTCTTTCATGCATGCATTTTCAGATTCACATCCAACTTAATTGTTTAAGAAAGTAATGTGCAAACAAGAGCCTACTCTTCACAACACCAGCTAGCAAATGCTAGCCACAATAACTTTTATTCATTCTACTTAGTTTTAGAGATCAAAGTATATGAGAAGTAAAAGAAATATAAAAAACAAAGATTCTGGAATTATAGCAGCATTCAGTAGCTAGGCATGGATCATTGAAAGAAAGCTCAGAAAATCTTGTTTCTGCTGCAGATATTCTAAAGACATTGTTTTTCATACTTTTATAGTACGCTTTCAGCCTGTTTTTGACCCTGTAAGCTCAGCAAATCTTGTTTCTGCTGCAGATATTCTAAAGACATTGTTTTTCATACTTTTATGGTACGCTTTCAGCCTGTTTTTGACCCTGTAAGTTCCTTCTGCAAGCAAACTATGCATAAATTCATCTTTTGATTTTTTTTTCCTTTTCCTGTAGTTTTCTTATGCTGGACTTGTAAACAGGTACAATAAAAGTCTGTTAGGTGACACTATGCGAAAGTTTCCAGCTCCTTTCCTAATGAATACTATCCACTTTGCAATGCAAGCTGTGTTTTCAAACTTTATCACTTGGTTTTGGTCTCATAGATTCCAAACTAGTGTTTCTATGTCTTGGAGGGATTACTTATGGCGAGGTAAATGTGTAATTTGGGCATATTTTATTTTATTTTTATTTATTTATTTATTTATTTTTCCTTCTTTCTTCAAGTATAAATATATGTCATCCAAAACTTGGAATAATATTGTCTTAAAATGATGACAATCATAATAATTGGAATCAATAACTTGTCCATTTTGAGTGGACGGTAATATTTGTGCCAGAATAGAGTTAATAAACTCTAGCCGAATAACTTTGTATTGGGCGTGGACTGGGTCATTGACAGAGAAGACGAAGATGCTCTGTTTGATGGTTCATGGTTGATCTCCATGTTTTTGTAGTTTTAAAGCTTTTTTGGCTCTACTAAAGTTATTGTATTTTTATTGAAAAAATTGAATTATTATGAATTACAATCCACTGATCTCATTATTACAGCCCTACAAGAACTTTTTCAGCCGTTCTATGCCATTGTGTTTAATCTTATTCTATTGGGAGTGTCCTATTTTAAACAGAATTTTGGTGGAAGTTTCTTTTTTTTTTTTTTAATACTGACAACTATTTTCGACAACAATATCTCTTTTGTGCTCATCTTTCCTAATATCCCCATAATTTAGATCGCATCCTAATCTATTGCCTTTCAGATTATCATCCTCTTCATTGAATGCACACTTATGCTTTTGACATGAAATGGTCCAAGAATATTTGTTATGGACAATGGTGTAACTTCTTTTTTTAAAAAAAAAAATTTCCCCCTTCTCCACGTGTTGGTACTTTTGTTGTAAATTTATAACCGCTTACTTTATTGACTTTTCTATCAACTAATGCCGCAGATGGAATTTGCCTTTCACAGTTGTGCCAACTACTCTAGGGACAGCATTGGATATTAACTTGAGCAATGCTTCTCTTGTTTTCATCTCTGTCACTTTTGCTACAATGGTTAGTGGCGTTTCTCTTCTTGTTGTTCATCAGGAGGGAAACATCAAATAATATCTATTTTATTTTGTATTGTTATTGAAGACTACATTTTCTTTCTTTCTTTCTGTTTTTCTTGCCCTGAGGAAGTAAATATCCTCATTCTCTACATTTACCTCCATCTTATTTTCTTCCTTGCAATGTAAATCTGCTGCTCCAATTTTTCTCCTTTTTTTTACCTTTGCTTTCAGGTGAGTTTATATTCTTTTGATCTTTGTAATTGTTCTTTCTGTTTTTTTGACCTCTGTGAATGCTAGGGATCAAAATTGAACATTCAGTTATGAGGAATTACATCGCTAAGATACATTAAGGAAATTAAAGTCTATATTATGAAGTCTGACCATTCCTAAAATACAACATTGTCTGCAAACTATCAATTATTTAGTACCTAAATGGTTATTGATTCTATACGAAAGGTAGATTTATGTTGTCTGACAGAACTTTTGGTGGCCCAGAAGACTTCAAATTGTAGAAACATTTAGCTTTGAGGAATAGCACTTTCTTTTCATGCTGGGATTATCCAAAACTTTCACTGAGTTCTTAGTTCTAAAGTAAATTTAAACATTGTTCAGTGTTACTACCAATTAGTTGATCCATTTATGCATGCCCATATGATTTCCATTTGTCAATTTAAACATTGGTCAGTGTCACTGTCAATTAGTTGATCCTTTTATGTATGCCCATATTGTTTCCAACTGTGAAGTTTTACGAAAAATTGATTTTTATTCAGGGCTTCAAATTCTTAATTGTTTATCTGGAAGAAAATAAAATACTAGAATCATGTGACAGTGGATGGCAATGATGCTTTGTAGTTTAATTAATTTAATGTGAATCCATCTAAAGTCGAATGGAGGCATAGGTTTCTTAAACTGTCTAGGATTACCGATTGAGTTTTGATAGGTGATGTAAGATGTTTGGTGCCTAATATTCACAAGCCACATCCTGTGGCTACTATTGTCTACCACAATGCTCCCAGTCCAAGAAATTTTACTTCAGGAGAAAAAGCAATGTTTATGCTGATACCACAGAAATTAGACTGGTCTTCTTTCATCTTTTGTTACATGTATGAAAATGAACACTTCATATTATATTGTGCTTTCTATGAAAAACATTTTTTTTGGGGTGGAGTTTCTAAAACTTGTCATGCATGTCTGTATGTAGATACATGCATTTTCAGTACTAATACCTGTTTGCTGTCATTTAATTGCAAATTTTGATTGGATGGTTGGAGACTCCAAGCTTTAAACTGTCTGGCATCATCTTAGTTATCTCCATTGGTATATTACTAACAGGTATATATGGCAGCTCTGGCTTTCATGCCTTTTAATTTAGATTTTGACTTGAATTGATTGTTATAAAAAACGAAGAATATCAGTGTAATTCTCATTAGTGGACAAACAATGAAACACCCTTGAAAATGTGACATCTTGGTCAAACCAAATACACCGTAACACTGCTAAAGGTGTACATTGCCTGTGTTTTGCCCTAATTAATTTACCAAATCTTTATACCTTGTGAAAAGAAATCGTTCCGAGGTTGGAGTGTTCTTGGTCATTCTCAAATTGGTTCTAAATGTCGGTTTTATGCAGTGAATACCTGGGCAAGTGGTCAAATATGGACAGTGAACTATTTGACATTCATATGAGGAATGCTTCTGTTTTATTCCATCATAAAAGTTATTATTTTACAGGGTTAATACCATTGTTAGTCCTTATAATTTGATTGAATTTTGGTTTTGATCCCTACAGTTTCAAATTGTTGGTTTTGGTCCCTATAGTTTTATAATTTTTCAGTTTGAATTTAACAAATGGCTTTTATACTTTTAACGCGATTTGGTTTTGGTTGCTATACTTAAACTTGTATTAAGTCCTTATGATACTATAGGGATCAAAGTTTCTATGATAGTATAGGGATCAAAATTAACAATTTGAAACTACAGCAATCAAAACCAAAATTGGATCAAGCTGTAAGGACCAACAATGATATTTTATACATCTGCACAATGTCTTTTTCTTTTTTCCTTTTTTCCTTTCTTCAGTGGCTAAGTACATTTTTTAAGCCTTAGAAACTTCTGCACGCTGAGAAATTTGTATGTCCATCTGAAATACAATTCCCTTGAAATGCAGTTGCAAAAGAGACAGAATTTGAATTTTGGGGATTTGTACTTGTTATGCTTGCTGCTGTTATGTCTGGGTTCCGTTGGTGCATGACTCAGATCCTTCTGCAGGTTCAGATTTTGTTTCTGATTTCTTTTTTAATATCTATTTTCCTGTTTTGTGCACTCATTTTTTCTGCCCTTAACAATTATTCTTACTCCATTTTGCTGGGCTGACTTGGTCTTTGTTCTCTTCATGCAATTTGACACCAAACCAATGCTAAAGAAAGAAGCCTATGGTAAGTGTCCTGAATAGCTCTGCAGTAATTTTTTTTAAGGAAAATAGTTTTGGAGATTTATGTGATATTTTGATGAGAAGCGAGTAGTCTCACTTAATCATGACTATTTTTAACTCATTCAATGATATATTTTTGGTATTTTCAGAGACTTGACGTAAATATGTGCCAGTTCAAGTTCTCATTTTTTATGAAATTAATTCATAGAGATAGGAAGTACGTAACAATAGGAAGTACATAGCAAGAGTGAAAATCTGCCCTTTTGTGTAATTTGCATAGCAGCGCCAGTAGATTTCCTTTATTTCAAATCCCCGAGGAACCGGGGAAGCAAAATCCCTGTTGTACCATAAGGGATGTGAGAGAGAAATCTTAGGCTCAAAAAGGTTATGCAACTATGCTCCACTGAGTCACATCACATGCAAAGAAAAAATAAGATAAAATAAATGACAACAATCCCAAAGCACCTTGCTGTCCTATTGTAGGTTGGCACATAATTTCAATGCTTTCCAAAATAGCTACTATTTTTTCAAGGGTTGCTGAAGACTCTGTCTGCTGTTTTTGGAGACAACAATTTTTTTGTCCCATAACTAGATGATGATGTAAAATTGAGGAAACAGAATTTGACAGAGATATACCTTAGTCTTTGTTAGGATTACAATTTTTGAAAACTAATGACCATTATATCTCTTTGTGAAATTGTGGAACCTTATGTTGGTCCCTTTTGTTAGTTACTCTTTGATTACCTTATTTAAATGCTCCCTCTGCTAAATTGAATTAAATTTTGGTATTCTTAAGTCAAGTTTACCTGGAAAGTTTTCTCTTAAATTAGAAATATTGTTTTGGAAGATTGGCATCACTGACAAATGGTGGACATCTTAAACCAGCCACGTAAGCAGAAAGAATGGTCATTCTGATTTTATTATTTTCTTAATTTTCTTAGAAGATGATGTGGGACCTTTGCATGCCTTCATGACCATTTGAGAGATCACTGCCCCATAGAAACCGTGTGCCTAAAGACAATCCTTTAAGTCGTAGGTCTTAGCACAAGGTTAGAGTTCTAGCTTTTCTAAAGTAGTATCTCACTGATGACTTAAGCCTCTTCAAGAGGAGGCCTTTTTTGCCTGTTGTGCTGGAAAGCCCTAAAGCCAATCCTAGGTAACAGTAAAGCTTCATAGGGTTTTTTTGTTCAGGTGCAGTTAGTTTGCATCTTCATTGCCATGTCTGTTCTACTGAGCCTACCTCTAAGACAGTGACCAAACTGTTGCGCATTTCACGTAGGCTGGAACTTACTTGACAAAGAATTATTGCTACCTTTGGTCCATTAAAGTTACAGCTCCCATTCATTAAGGCTTCCGTTGCTGAATATAGATCATCATCCCATGCAAATAATAACTGAGCAAATTCCTATAATTACAACACGGGTGAAAAATAATATTTGATATCATGGATGGTATTCCTGTTAAGAGAGGTTGTTGAATTAGCCAGAAGTTTTGTTGAGGCTAAATTCTCTTTAAAGGTTTTTCTTCATGGACTAGATCTAGACAGACTGCTAGATTCTTACTTTTAAACCAACGTTTAACCATTCATCATATGTTATGCTCTAGAACATAGCCTACCATGCACTGACCTCAGGCACGTGTGAGCTTGTCTCTGGCTTCTGACCTTGACTGAAAGCTTGATGACCATGTTTTAGTGTTTTTCTATTTTTGTCTTCTTTGAATACTCTTTCTTTATTCTAATTTTTCCTCTACCGATGTTCACTTTCCATTGACAGATTTAAAAGATCTGTGCCTTTTTAATGAAATGCTGATAATTTTTCTAAAATAATTTTAGGGATAAAAAATCCGCTTACCTTGATGAGCTATGTAACTCTAGTAATGGCAGGGGCAACTGCTCTTCTCTCTCTTGCATTGGATCCATGGGGGGAATTCAGGCAAAATGAATATTTTAATAGTCCATGGCATATTACTCAGAGTTGTTTACTGATGCTTTTAGGTGGCGCACTTGCTTTTCTTATGGTAAGAGTAAATGTTCCCTTTCCTAGGACATGACATTACAATGTTAATTGTTTGGCTTTCTACTTCTTTGACATTTAAGCTTTCAATTTTTTCCTCCTCTCAAATCAGTTTTCAAAGGTGGATCTCCTTTTTGCAGGTCCTAACAGAGTATGTTCTTGTCTCAGTAACTAGTGCCGTCACAGTTACAATAGCTGGGGTTGTTAAGGAGGCTGTCACCATATTGGTATCATTTTTTGACCTTTTCTATGCCAGTTTGTTGACATGAACATCCAGTGGCTACCACCCTTTATTTTGGTCTGTCTCATATATCTAAAGAACCTAGTTAAGGTGTCACTTTTGTGCTGATGTCGTTCATGACTCATGAAAAAAATTACTTAAGAAGGCTTCCAAGTTACTTGACACAGATTGTGGATTATAATTTGATTAGTTTTTAGGTTGTTGTATTCAGCTTTCTATAATATTGAGTTGATGGTTTCTGCATTTGCTGATTTGGCGGTGTGGTGGGGTTTAACAGGTTTTTCTATACGACTGCACCCTAGCTGCATTGAAAATATTGATAATTGTAATTAGTTGTAATTAGTAAATTTGATGAGGATGGGAGAAACAAATGTTTCATGCTGTTATATATTTTTCCACCCATGGGAGTCACCACAGGCGCTTCAAAAAAATTTCTGCTTTTCTTCCTATAAATTGACAATCTTGTGTCTTGCATGATTATGATACATCTAGAAAAAGATGGTTTTATTCTTGAAAGAAGCTTTAGAGTTGCTTGATATACTCTGATCTTCATCCTATCAAACTATAATATCGAATCCCAAATAAAAGAATGTTCTTTTCTGATGATAGCTTGGTTATCTGATGAAAGAACATTGCTTTCAGTACTGAAATATGCTTAATACTAACACTCTTTTTGTATTGCAGTCCCTTGTGTATATTTTGAAGCTGATTGGGTGGAGAGAAGAGAGAACAAATTTCCCACATATAATAAACAATATTTTGTCTTTTATTTTGGTTCATTCATTTGACATTCTCTCTAAGATAATTCCAGAGAGGCTGTTGCATATTACAGATTGCTTGGAATGTTGAAATTTTGCTTGGACTGTGCACAAGTTATTTTAAATGCCGGATGAATATTTACAGATTCTTATTGGCTATCGAATTTTTAATTATGTCTGGTCTAATTATGCGTTCTATGAAAATTTAGTTATAATATAAAATAATAGTCTATTGTTCTTTTTATTGTTAATATTTTCTTTCTGATACTACTTTTATTAATAATATAAATGTTACAGATGAAATAAGAAGTCCACACAGCCACGCAATTATTATATTTTGTGTACAACCTTCAGTATAATTACATAACTATAACGCATCTCAAGTCAAACACAATTTCAAAATAAAGATATCTAATTTCTTATGTGTATAATTTGTAACATACTGACACAAATTTAACACACTTTCACACAGCATTTAGTAAAACACAAATGCAGATAAAGAAAACATTAGAAGACCAAAGCTCCTCATCACCTTTTTAGTTTTAATTTTCGGATTTGGTCTCCGATTTTGAAAAAAGAAAATAATTTATTAGAAGCTTAAATGTTACGTCAAAATGGCACAGATAAAAATGAAAACTAACAGCCTAATTTATCCTACGCATTTTTTAAATTTGTCGTTAGATATCTATCTGTTTATAAAGCTGCTAATAATGTGATAAGAATGTGTGAATGGTGAACATTGATTTGTTTGGATTACGCACTTATTAAACTCTAATATTACTGCAACATGTCATTCATTTAAAACAAAACTATTCCATCCATTAAAAAAATTAAAATGTAAAAAAGCATCAAAAGATAGAGTTTGAAAGGAAGAGTGTGTCCACATGGAAATAAAAAGCGTAGCACCTCATGAGGCCTCGTATTCCAATAGTGGAATATTGTGCATATATGGACAACGTCGTATGCGTGTAGTACCAGATAGGAGGCTGAACTCATAACCGTCATATATCTCTCTCAGCTGTGGCAAATCTTCGAGACACAAATCCTTCAATTTGGGGAACAGGTTTCCATGATCACCAACTTCAACTTCACCTTTAGATCTCTTAACAACCCCCTCAAGGTCAGAGCAATCCCTTATGTATATTCCCTCTAATGAAGGACAATGATGAGAAGCCATAGAATATGAGAACACCCTTTTCATTTTATTGCATCTCCCTATCCGAATATACTCAAGTTTGGGGAAGCAAACATTAGAAGAAGAAGAAAGATTTTCAAGTGATTCTTCACAAAATATTCCCTCCAATTCCTCACAAAGAGATACGTCTAATGTCTTCAATTCTGGAAGGCTTGTGACAATTACAGGAGTAAAAATATTCCTCAACTTTGGGCATCCCTGCAATACAATCCTTTCGAGTCTATGGAGACTCATGCTTTGTGTGGGGCCCTTCCAAATGTATTCCAACTCTTCTAGAGCCCATTAAGATATAGAACACAACTCTGAATTCGCGGCCCTTGCTCTCTTACTCTCATTTTTCTGCAAAGTAATTGTATCCAATGATTACATGACAATTCGAAAGATTGACAATAAACATGAACCATATCAAATCAAACTGTAAATTAACATTAATATTTTTAATATCGTAATAACGTAATCTCAATAAGATAAATTTTACTAATTTAGGCCTTCATATATTATCCACACTGATTTGTTACAAATAAAACAGTATTGAATAATTACTTTCCATTTCCACAACAATGAGCTGGAGCGAAAACATTAATTAAAACAAAAATTGTCCAAAATTTGATAGTAAAAACACAATTTTTTTTCAAATCAATGACAATTTTTAACGAGAAAAAGAGGGAGACTTAACAAAAGGGAAAAAAAATCTCTTTAAAATATCTAAACGACAAATTTGACAAAGCAAACATGCCAATTGTTACGACACTCTTCACAATATAAACCCAATCAATTTCGCACGTTTGACAAAGTGGTGCATTTAGCAAAGTTAAAGAAATTATTTGACAATGTTTTTTAAAAAAAAAAGAACAAAAGAAGTTAACGTTTTACCAAAATTCATCAAGAAAAAATAAAAAATTAAACCCCATTTTTCACATAATTTTAATGTTGTAATAACATACGTTTTATTACTTTAGACCTTCATATATTATCCACACAGATTTGTTCCAAATGAAACAGTCTTGGATAATTACTTTCAGTTTCCACAATAATGAGCTGGCGCCAAAACATTAAGCAAAAATTGAAATAATTAGTTCCCGTTATTATATTCAAGATATATTCTTAAAACTAATATATATATTCTTTGGCAGGAAACACGATTTTTTCAAATAAATTTAAAAATAAACATGCCAATTTTTAACAGGAAAAGAGGTAGACTCAACAAAGGAAATTATTTGGCAATGTGAAAGAAATTATTTTGACAAAAATTTTAAAAGCAAAAGAACAAAAGGAGTTAACGTATGTTTTATCGGGGGAAAAAAGTTCACCAACAAAAAATGACAAATACAGATTAAAAATAATAGTGGCATTTTATCATTCATGTTTATTATTTATTATCAAAGAAGCAACAAGTTGAGCTAAAAGTAATATTTGATTGTTTGCGGAAAATACTTACGTGTTGCGGACACTCCAATAATGCACCTCCAAATATCTCTCTCAATTTCGGCAATTTCCTTAAAAGTAATTTCTTCAGTTTGAGAAGAGGTAGCTGCCAATCCCCATCGTGTGCTGCTTCTTCATCAACAACCCTCTGCAGTTCTAAGCACTCATTTATGTCCAGCCTCTCTAGTGAAGGACAATGATGAGAAGGCATAGAATATGAGAACACCCTTTTCATTTTATTGCTTCCCAATATCAGAATATTCTCAAGTTTGGGGAAGCAAACATTAGAAGAAGAAGAAAGATTTTCAAGTGATTCTTCACAAAATATTCCCTCCAATTCATCACAGTAACCTACTTGTAATGTCTTCAATTCTGGAAGGCTTGTGACAATTGGAGGAGTGAAAATATTCCTCAACTTTGAGCATTTCCGCAATGCAACTTTTTCAAGTTTATGGAGGCTCACACTTCGTGTGGGGCCCTTCCAAATGTATTCCAACTCTTTGAGATCTGATAAATCTAAAGAACACAACTCTGAATTCAATGTCAAAGGTTCGCCTCTTGCTTCAATAGATTCTGTTCCTCTGACTTGCTGAACCTCAAACATACTACCTTTCATTCCACTACTTTCAATAACTACAAGTTTCAAACTTAGGAAAGGGGTCCAGAGTTTCTGATTTCGTGAATGGTGGGAGCTTTCTACAGTAGTGACCACAGTCTGATTCCCCTGTACATACATACATATATGTATTCAAATTATAATTATGAAATGCACACATTAATTACAACAACTTGTCTCTTACTCTCATCGTGTCAGTCAGAATTACTTTCTTAACAAAAATAGGAAATAAAAAAAATAAAGCGTTGTTAAAAATATGAAATTAATTATTTGGAAAATATATACCATTGCATTTGGCAAATTAAAAGTAATCATTTGATAAAAGATTTTTAATATGAAAGATACAAATCGATAAAAACAAATAGCATTTTCTTGTCTTGAAATAAAAAGTAAAACTCAAATAGTAGCTCAATCACACACACTTACACGCATATAAAAACACTACGTATGACGTTTGCTACAGAGCTTTCAAATTTCAGAAATAAAAAATAAAGTTATATATTTGCAAAAACTTGAATTAAAGAAAATGACTATTGCCTCTAATTCAGAATATGTTGGAGTACTTTTTTAATCTTACGTATATTATTTGCTTATAAACATGACTTTTTAAAATAAAGTTTAAAAGTAAACAGGCCAATTTTTAATTTTAAAAAAAAACTAGGTAGAATGCACCAAAAGCAAAAACGAAATGTCCGAAAAATATGTGAAACTAGCAATTGCACGAATTTAGACTAGCCTCTAAAAAGTAGTTTCCGCAATATATAGATGGTGTTAGAAATTGCAATACACATACTATTTATTTGACCAGAGAGTTAAAACTAACAAATAGATTGATAAAGTAGGCACATTAATTTCGCATGATAATTTAAAAACAGATATAAAATTCAGCACCAAAAGAAAAGAAACAAATTCAGCTTACAACCTTTTTTCAGCAAACGCATCAACATGGATTATTATTTCAAATCTGCAATGATTCAAGATGAATTTTGCGG